TGGCAAATGCCCACTTAAAAAAAACACCATCTCTTACCTACACAGGCAGTGCGTGTGCCTTGAGGGCAGGATTACGCACTTCGTTTTCATTGGGAGCGCCTATTGTTTCACATATACAGCTTCATAAAGAATTTCATGGCTCCTTACAGGCAGCTTTAATGAAGGCAGCCAATTACTCACAGTCCAGAGTAAGGCAAGCTGATTTTACACATTCTGTGGTCAACTAATTGCGTCAGGCACCTGCAATTAATCTGAATAGTCAGGAGAACAAGTGCATCTCTAGGTGTTGGTGCTACAACATCCTAGTGATATCAGATAGAGAAAATGCAGTGGGCTGTTGGTTTGTGTCCAGAAGGTTCACGTCAGAACTGTAACAAATTCATCCTAAAATGTTTCCAAGGATAATAACAAGAGGTGGTAGTTTCATGCTCCTGTAAAGTTTGAGGCTTCATAGGCAAGAACCCCAGATGTGTACAGAAAGCCAACTAGTGTAACTGAATTCAAGCTCACGCTCCCCAGCAGATCTGCTAGGCTGTAAGTAACAGGTTCCAGCACCAGCATTCAGCTCCATCATACCAACATTCTGTCTTGCCGTGGCTCCGAATCTCCGAACTCCACACAACATTAAAATAACAACTGAAGTTTCAACCACCTTATGACAACGGCTTAGTGCTGGACAATTCCGCTGTGGCTGGGGAAGCTGAGGCAGGGAGAGATCGAGGGTTTGCACATATTCCAGCGCGCCACAGAGGAAACCCAAACTACTGCAGGCAAACAAGTAATCCCTCTGATAGGAGCAGCACAGCCGCCGTAGCAAGGAGGAGGTCAGCTCGGGCTGGCTTAGCCTTGAGAGCGCTGCACTAAGACCACTTGCATTATCTGAAACAGCCCATTCAAAACCAGATCTTGCATCTCCAACTACATTGCAGGTAGACGCAACAAAAAAAAGATTTGCTCCATTTGTTACTGCTTATCTGTGACAAAGCTAAGAACAAAGTCATGACTGTTTGACCCCAGGAGCTCAGTCTGACCAATACACTGTCTCTCATTCAACCTGAGCTCCCACGTCAGCAGTGAAGACTTTGGAAATCTCAGCGTTTCATCTGCCCAGGAAGGAAAAGGCATAACACATGTGTATAAAATTGCCAACTTCTGTTTTAAGAGGCCCAAATTCTTCTCAGCTATCCTGAAACAGTCCTGCTGGTCCTATAAGACAGTAGGTTTTAAGGGCTGCTTAAAACAGAGAGGGTCCCTGGAGGTACACACAGGATAATCCACTTTGCTGTTGCGATTTCACAGAGCTAATCCAAACATCTAAAGAAAAATATGCTTAGCTAAACTGACGATGGGGTAAGAATCCACTTCTAAACATGCTGAATAAAACCTCGATCCCTTGATGGCCACAGCGAATCACACCAGGAGCATTCCCAGAGAGCCACTGCTTGGTACAAGGATGGCTGTCAATCTCCTTCTGAGATTTGTTGGTGCAACGGCCTCTGTGGTTTCTCTTATATTCTCCCAAGCGACCTTCACACCCTGCCCATGCTTTTTTTATTGGGATCAGCACTACTGAGGCTGTAAAATTGAATAGATACCTTCTTTCCGACTCACAGCTATGCCTGAATTCACAACTTAATCCTACCTGGCCTCTCTCAGCTCTCAGTCATACCCTAAATGTCATTATTAGCGTCCACAATTTAAAGTTAAATACAATTTGAGATACTTCTCACTGCTTTACTGCAAGGATGGAATACATCAGAGGAGCCTGAAGAATGATACTTCCAACATTTTTTTTATCCTGAAGTGTAAAGTTAAACCTATTTTTATTAGATTTATCTCTATTGGTTTCAATATTTGCTCTTGCAGACCTGGAGACTGTCCTGCATTTCAGAATATTGAAACACTGGGTAATATATGATGTTACCAAGAAGATACAAAAGGGAATATTTATACAACTGCGCTGCCACCACCGCAGTGGAGATCGCCCAGGACAGAGCTGCGACACGCTGCTGATGTAATGTACATTACACGCTATGACGGCTGCTTCTGTCCTCTTGCTAAAGGGAGAGGATTTCCCTCTCCGCTGCCATCTGCGAGGTAAGAGGACTAAAATACATCTTAGCCAATAGACAAAAGGCAGTTTCCCCCCTGCTGGGAAAAATATGTAAAGAAAGCTTCAGTTTTTGAATAGCAATTAAATTTTTATATTCATTTTTCAAAACTTGCCATTAATTCTTACAGCAAGATGTATTGATAAGACTCACGGTGTCATTGTCCTAGTATTGTATGAAATACAGTATTTGCAGAACATTAGGCATTTGCATTTAAATCCCACTAGAGAGATACACGCTGATTTGTAGAATGCGATTCCGTAACACAGTAATAAAGAGCAGGCAATTTTCTGTACAAAACCGGAGAAGTCTGTAACGCGTCATTACATTGCCAGACGCAAACCTCTGCCTATCTGCTAACGCAGGAGCTCTGCACGAACAACAGGCCATTAAAGACGGGTTAGGAGGAGTTAATGATACATCTGATGTAAAGCGCAGCCTTTCTGCAGACTGCCACCGCTCTGTTCTCACCAGCTCCGGACAAAGAGCCATTCACTACCCAGCCTTGCATGAATGCTTTGCATACAAAAAGAGACGTGAGAAACAAAAGGATCCTGTAACCCACAGAACTTTTCAGCCTTGCTTGGCGTTTGGAAAGTTATAGACTCCACTCAAAGGGACCGACCAAGCAAATGAGACCAGAATGTAATGGGGAGTACTGAATATTTAGATACTGAAAAATGGAGTAGAAAATGCACCCCTGCATCTCTGTGAAGAAGGGAAGGGAGGAAGAGGGAGGAAAATACACTGAATAACTCGGAAATTATAAGTATAGATGGTTCTCTGCAAAAGCCCCAAACAAAGCCCTGAATAAGGCTTGTAAGCATTGAAAGAAGCAACCTGGAAGCACAGATACTCAGCAAGAATTATTAGGTGTTTTGAATTATATGCACATAGAATCCTGGAAATGAAATTGCTTCTTTAGTTGAGCAGACAAACCACCTGGCCCACAGGAAAACAACAGCGGAAAGAATAGATGCTACAGCAACAACAGTGAGCCGAATGCCATTTCAAGCCGCTGTCCCAAAACGTGCGGCTCTGCTACCGAAGTCCCCATTCCTTCCACGTGCCCTCTCTACCCTCCTTTTCCTCTCCATTTACCCACTGTCAAGCCATCCTCCAGCAAAGGGAATGAACTGAAAATGTAAAACTAACTTGTGATTTGCTGTCATTAATCAAACAGAATCCATTCCCTTCTCCGTAAACTCCTCGAGTCAGGGACTGGCTGCTACTTTATCTGCGACTGTGCCAAGCACGGCGCGGCCCCGCTTTTAAGTGTCATTGCAGGGAACAGGATTACCAGGACAAAATAAAAGATGTGAGTTGAACTTAGCCTGCTTCTGCTCTCATCTGGACAGCTAAACGTCTTTGGCTTCCATCACACTTGTGAGCGATTAATTCCACAGCGCAGCCAGCAAGGCTGGGGATTCCGAAGGATCTCTGCGGCGGCGTGATGCTGCGTCCCCACACCTGCGGGCAGGAGGAACTGCTCTCCTCTTCCTCTATCCAGGTGACCTTCCTTCAAGGGTTCGCACATCAAAATGCCAACAAGATTTTTTTCTTTTAAATCTCCCTACCCACTTCTACTAAACAAAGACAAAATATCAGAACACACAGTGTTAAAGACTTGGCAGGTTTTCAAAGCTGTCTGCTGCATTTAGATGCCAAACTTCCATGAAGACTAAAGGGATGCGGATGTCCAATTACTCTTAAATAGCTTTGAAAATACAAGTCATCCCCCTCACCTTCCAGCATACCAACTTATGCCCAAGATTTTGTTTAGTTTGACTTCTATGTTAAAAGAACACCTTTATAGGCTGAATCCAGTGAAAAGAATGAATAGGGCTCCAGTCCCAAAATTAATATAAAGCAAAGGCTTAATTTGAAGCTGGGGGGGGATGGAACAGATTTATTCAGCATCTCCAAGAAGTGTTAAAAGTTACTTAGAAAGCAAGTAGCACATCTCTGACTTTACTAGAGACAGAAGATATCAAAGTGCCCAATTTAAAGTCCGTTACAATAAGTAGCATAGCACTAAAAACACCAAAGTATCTTCTGATTAAAACACGGGGAGCTGCATCGAGCTGTATATTGACAGTTTAAACCTCTTCATATGCCTTGTTCAATACTTTGTGCAACTCCACCCTGGATGCATCGTGGGGCAGAAACTGCCTTTAGCAGTGTTCCTGTCTGCCCAGTCGGTTTGCGCGTTCTGCGATGACAGCGCCAGGGTGGGTTGTGGGAGCCGAAAGCACCGCAAGGACCAGCACGGTTCCTGCTGCGACATAACCGAAGCCGTGTGCGTGTGGCTTTGGGAGGGCTTCCTCCTGCTTCCCGACGTCACGTCAAGAGGAGTGCGTGCAGTGTTAGCAACATGCACGGCCCTTTGGTCCTTCCTACCACATTGGGAGAGAGAAAACTGCCACCTTCTCCACAGCCATGCAGGAAATGAAGATTGCAGTGTGCAGCCCCGAAAGGC